ATGCACAGAAATGTTTGACTTGAGCGGGAATCGAACCCGCGACCTTTGGAATAGCAGTCCGTTACACAAACCACTACGCCATCCAGTCGTTATTTCGAAAGTTATTTCGAACTTACGGTTAAAGACATTTAGTTTTCTCAAAAGATTACAATTAATCACTTGCAGAGAAAAATACAATACTATACAAAAATATATTACTTAATTAGCGTAGTTAGTTAGTAAGGTAGTTGTGAAAAGTTTTTTGTGAGTAGGGTAGATTAAATACTTTCTATACAGCTGTGAGTTCAAGAATGTTGGTGCACAAAACAATGCATGTTTGTTAAGGCCTATGACTTAGTGACACGTACCTGTAGATTGATGTCAAACATTATATTTCTTATTATAGTGACACCAGCAATGTAATATGTTTTATAAGTAAATAATATGTTATATAATTATATAAACGGAGTGTACTGCTTTTACGTATATTTAGACTAAACATAGGAGCGTTGTAAATTGCATCCCAGAATATTGTACGAGTATGTAGTGTTCTATACATAATATTGCCAATCTTGTTTTTTTTTTTTTTAACATACATATACTTAACATATGTATAGTTTAGATATGGTATTCATTAGTAATAATATTTGCACATTAAAATTTAAATAAAGCTATTTTCATTATCTTATCAGTGAAACATACCTTAAAATATGGCTTTTTAATAACTTTTTAAATGTGTTTAATGTTTTACTTACGTTATGTTTAACTTAGGCCGAACAGCACCGACAGACACTGGTGCAGTGGCGCGCGCAGCTGGAACAGCCGCGGAATGCGCGCCAACGCGCTGTCAGTGCTGTTCAGCCTAATCTCGAAGCTAGGGTAGGTAGGAAGGAGGTCGTGTCACCTATCGACTGACGCAGGTACTCACTGGCCATGCTTGCTTCGGTGAGTACCTGAATCGTATCGAAAGCGAGGAGACGGCACAATGCCAGCACTGCACAGCCGACTGGAGCTCCGCCCAGCACACGCTGGAGGATTGCCCTGCGTTTGGGTCTCAACGCGAAGCCCTGACGAGACCTGTTCCCGCCAGCAATCATTGCTGCCATGCTGGCGGGTGAGGAGGGATGGGGCGCAGTGGTTTCTTTCTATGACGTTGTGATGCTTCACAAAGAGACCGCTGAACGGGATCGGGGGGGGCCGATCCCGAACGTAGAGGACGTCGGCGACGATACCAGCCGTCGACGGGGCCGCGGGCCGCCAGAGAGTGGGGACCTCTAGTGGCAGATTGATTACTGCGGTAGGGGATATAATGGCAGCCTGATTGCATTAAGACGCAATCAGGCCGCCATTATATATGGATAGGGCCTGATTAGGCATGGTGTTAATTCTGGGAGGACCTGAAATAATATGGTCCGGGTCCTCCCTGAGAAGGACATCTGAGGCAGGCCGTCAGGGTGGTTTTTAGTGGCATCACCACATACTCCTGGTTCCTTAGTCCCCGAGGAGAAGGAGATCCGAAGAGATTTTAAAACCCGTCAACAAAAAAAAGGCCTGGTGAGAAGAAATCTAGCAAACTAACTCAAGGCCACGTTAAAATCACCAGACAGGTATTACTTATGGTGAAATGTATAACAACTCGATTATCTGGTGTGCTATTATGTTATAAAAAGTATCACTGATTTTTATGTCACACTTTCATCTCTTAATTTTCCGCGTATAGCAGTGGAATAGTTTTTCGAATTTAAATGGGACCAATTTTTAGTAAAAATAACGAGATTAAATAAAAAAAAATATCAGACAAAAGTGAAACCTAAAAGTTGGGAAATTAAACTCATTTTTTCATATAATACTTCTATTAAAAATTTGAAATAGACTATAAATCTATAACAATCCATTGTTTTATCATCCATATGAAACATGAGCCTTAACCCGTGAATGCCCTTAAGGCATATCCAGTTGTTGTTTAATGTGAACTTACATTTAAAGTTGACATACTACTCATAGTGAATTTTATAACAGCTACCAACGTGTGCATGATCAAGTAATATGTGAGTGACAAAATATGATATTAAATACTTCCTTACTTAAACAAAAATTTAATATTTTACATATTATACAATATGCTTAAAATTTTGCAAGTCACCGTAATAAAACTACTGAAATGTTTATCGACGTAAAGAGTTGCACAATAGGTAATCCAAGAGTCTTATGTAGTTTCTAACTTGGCAAAATACACATCATTCATGCAGAAATCACTTATATCAGAGTTTAAATGCTGGCATTCCAAAGGTGACAAAAGATCAATCGAAAATTACTCAAGCCAGTGGACTGCAAGGAATATCAAGACTCCATGACCCAGTAGAGGTAGAAATATATTGTATTTATATGTATTATGCATACATTCAAATTGAAGTAAACGTTTGGTTTTTAACGAGATAGATGAGATTATTATGATGAGAAGGCCGCACTCTTGTAAACATTAATTTTATTATTTACAAATGTACATAAAAATTCTCAACAACGTGTGGCAATGTGAATATCTTAACAAAATATTTCGTTTTCAATTATTTTGTTTCCAATGTCCATAGATACACACGAGAAGAGTGTCATCATCATCATCATCAACAGCCTTTAATAGTCCACTGCTGGACATTGGCCTCTCCTTAGAAAGGAGGTTTTAGCCTACTATACCACACTAGGCATAGGGTTTGTTTCAAATTTTCCTTCTCTCTGCAGTGAGTTTGTCCTGTGTAGTTTGTTCTCGGCTCTTATGAAACCCGCGGTGTGAATACGGGTGGTGACACTCCGTATTCTTAATCCGTCACCACGTTGACCAGTGGAGAAGAGTGTATCCAGGTCAAATAAAGGAATCCAAATCATTTAAGGATATCTGAAAACCTCGCAACTAAATAAAAAAATATTTTTTTTAGTATGTAAGTATTTAATTGTATTACCTTCTGAAGTGAAGGTGAAACAATTTACTTGACACTTTATATATGGCATTATATTCGTAAAAATATGTAAAGGAAAAAAAAACTTATTCTTAAAATAAACTATATTTTCCTAGGACATGCCGATTATACATGTCAAACAGAAGAATTCGTCTGGGCTGGACGACGTATGGGAAGCTACGTCACATCTTCGTTCCCACAATCGCTAGAAACCAAGGTGTCTAACCAGTGCGTCCAACCTTTAGTGACATACGGAACCTCAAGTGTAAATCCGCACAGCATGCGATGTTGGGTGTTTCTCCAGTTGAGAAAATTTTACTATTATATTCTACGCTATTTGACAGAGAACTAGAGTAACCGACACCGCACGGAGAATTAGTACGCTGGCCAGTCAGGTCTCCAGGCGGACTGATGGTCACTGGAGCCTACATGTGTTAGAGTGGAGACCTTGATTGGGCAAACGTAGTGTAGGGCGCCCTGCGGCAGGATGGACCGACGACTTGAAGAAAGTGGCTGACAGCGGATGAATGCGGACTGCCCAAAACCGAGATCCCTTTAGCAGTGGACGGCAATAGGCTGATGATGATTTCTTTACTTTTTTCCTCTGATAGTTTTAAAGGAATAGCATAATATACATTGTATTCCTTTTACTTTACAAGCAATGAAGTTCTTCTAATGAGTTGATATCTTGTACCCAAGATTGTGTCTGCAAAATGTTTTATGTTTATACATAGTGAATTGAATTACATATATTATACATAGCATTTTAAAAGATGAGAAGAACCAAATCGTGTATTTTTTAAATATTAATGGTGGGCAAACGTTTGAAAAAAAGAGATAAAGATTAATTTATTATTAAAGTTGTGAAATAACGTATTATCGCTATCTCATATTTAACAATTTCCAATAAAATAGAAAAAGTAGTAATAATAAAATATGTATTTTTTTTACCCTTTTATTATAGTCATAGGCATTTAGCAGACAAATATCTACGACATTAAGACGAAAGTAAGCCATATTTGCCTAAATTGTGGATAACATTGACACAAGTAATTACTTGCTTTAAATATGGGTTGTAATAAAACAAACAAATGATCGACTTAATGCCTAGTATAGTATTATTTATTTCTACCCATAAAAAGCGTGTGACCGCGTGGTTCTGATTTTCAATCCCGGGTCAAACTATTTATGATTGGGTTTTCTGCTAGGAACAGGGCCGTATTTACCCTAGAGCCAAAAGGGTCATGGTCCAAGGCAGCATGCGCTGCACCTTTTTTTTACTTGGACTTAACCCGCTCGGACCGTCATGTCACCCCGCCGGGGTTTGCGGCGGGGCGGTGTGTCGGAATCGAACCGACTAAAACCACACGGTGTGCCACTCTGGGTCACATCAACACACTGCTGTATTTTGTTTTATGATTAAATACAGGCCCGCGTCGCTGAATATTGAAATACGCTACTGGATAGGAAATAGTTACTCTTATCGGCAGGTAGCTGTAAAGCTGGGAATCAACCTGGCAGAGATGATAATGTTATAGGCTCAAATCTCCCTTCGCAGGGCCAAGTACGCAAAAATTATACACTTGGTTGGTAGTCTCGTGTAATTGGTGTCAAGTCTATCCTCTGCCTATTCATTTGTTTTAGAGCCATTTTTTTCTAATAAATGGTACTAGAACATTGTCATGTCGGATAAATCAGTCTGGACTGATTTATCCGACATGACAAAGGATTTGTAAGAAATTGCTTGAGAATATCTGGATATTCTCAAGCAATTTCTTACAAATCCTTTTGATTTGATATTGACCTTGCCATTTACAGTACATTCATATTATAGGTGTACACATAGCCATCTTTTGGTAAACATACTTATTATGATTTGTTAGATTTTGATTGCATCAATAATATCAAGGGCGACCTCCAAGGTGGAGCGGTGTAGAGCACCTTGTGATTGCACCTTAATTATAGACCGCAGGAAGTTTTGATAATCCTCTCAGTTGCATGATTGTGATTATCTCTTTTTTGGTTAGGTTGAGGTCAGAGTGCATCTGCATATGCAGCTAAATTATATTAATGTCGGTAGGAAGTGTTTTAGTCGTCCTCCTACTCAATCACAGCCTTGAGCTTGCCAAACAAACAAAGTGCAGCCGTCTGTTTGAGCTGTGAGTATATCTAACCAAACAAATCCTTTTTCTCTGTCCTGTATTTGAATATTCATAAATACCTACTTGTAAAAGTTTAATTGATTGTTGTCGCAACGATGAATGTTGAAGTTTAAGACAAAATATTTGTCACTCATTTTGATTTCAATTTACATATAGTTTTTTAATAACACGTATAAACAGTAGCTGTAGTCAGATTTTAGTAGGTAATGCTAGATTGACAAGAGCTAATGATTATACTTTATTGTGTAATAAAATAGGCGGACAATGAAGCTATAAGCAGCGTTATGTTATTGTAATAAATATATAAACGATGCAATACGGTAATTGATTTAAATGGCATGAATAAATATACAATCTGGTCAATTTTAAATCATAAGGTAGGTGTCTAATAATAGTTCAAAACATATTGATAGTCTTTCTGACATGAATTTGCAAAAGAAATATCGTGAAATGAAAGGTCATCGCCATTACCTCCATTACGTACCAAACAAAAAGTGGACCAGTAACACTTCAATCCATATATCTCAAAGTTACATCCGAGTAAAAGGCCGTTACGTAAGTTCCCACATTCGGGCGTTTAAGATTCTAATTGTGTTATAACCACGGTTTGGAATTGTATTATATTTACGACTAGCTGTTATCCGTGACTTAGTAGGTACAAGTACAAATACTCACATTACGTTCAGATTAGAATACGTTTTGAAGGAATGTTTGGAAATCTTTTACTGTTTTAATGCTATTTGTAAAGTGACAGTTCACTTAAAAACTATTGAAACGTTGTTTTTTCGTGATTTGGTCTACTATTAGATGAGTGCTCCGAGGAATAGTTCGGACTAATACCAGCCGCAGCTTTCACTACCAGCTACACCGTAAAATTTCATCCTCATCACCTGGATAGTTGGCGCTCCAATACTGTGCGCTTTTCGAGACACCTTTGGGACCAAAGGTGTCTCGAAAAGGAACTTATGGACCGAGGCTGGGCTGGGTCCATAAGTTCCAAGTCTTTACAAACGGTTGGATTCCATTTACACGCTTGCGAGTGTGCTATTGTGTTCCAGTCAGGCAAACATAGCTGACGAGGACATATTTTTATTCAAAATATGCGCGGCACTAAACTAAAAAAAAAAAATCTAGCCTTACTGCTCAATCAGTAGAGCATTGAGATTTAATGTTAATTCCCGACTACAATATTTGTAATATCAAATTGAGCAGTAGGAAACAAGCACGCGCCAACGTGTAGGTACATACGTCGCAAACGCTTGCCGCGAGCTTCCTTTGATCAGTGTTGAAAAGCCGACACTAGTACCGATCTACGACGAGCAAGTCGAACCAAACACCTCGTTTACACGCTTGTGTTTGTGGACACTTTTCGAGGCTTGCCATGCGTGTAATCGGTCTATAATGCTTGCATTATATTTCTTCATTTATTAGCAACATCAGCGCGGGTTTTAATAAAAGCACTCGGCCATTTTAATGAAATTCAGTATACCATTTTTCACATACCATGATATCAGTGCAACGTTTTATACATTTTCTGTAATTTAGTCTAAAATTAAAATACGTCTAAAAATACAAGAATGATCCCGAATTGAGAGAGAAATAAAAATTCGTTTCAATTTTCTGTTTATAGCATATTTTCAACGAATACAGAACTCGAGCAGAGCTGCGGTAAAGATGGTCCAACGTCCGAGAACTCCTCCTCCTCGCCTGGACACTGTCTGGATACTTACAATAACCAATCACCCGTTTGATGTACGGCCATCGTTCGTCATCTGAACGTAGTCTGAATGTATGTAACCATGTCTCTTTTATTATTATCTGTAAAGGTGTACAATGATGATAAATAATTGTTTAAGTTAAAAAAGTATTTTATCGTAAATAATAAAAAAGATGAGAAGAGAAAGACCATTCTTTTTTATATTTTATTCTAACCGCTTGTAATCCTACCAAAATAAGCAGCAATTTTGCACACACCTTAGATTTGTTTCAAGTAGCTCCTTTACTCGTGTGCTGATAGTGAAAGATAGTTCTTCTACACTACAATGGAGCAACGGAGCAACGAATCGACGTGACTTTTTGCAATACTTAATGAGCCTCAGAGCAACGTAGGCAACGTATTAACCTATACTATAATGATTTCAAGTTGTTTTATTAAGGAATTATGACATTTAGTTAGGGTCTATGGAAGTGAGAAAGTAACGAAACTATACCTCAGATTGGGCTACAACCCGCAAAAAGTTAACGCAACCAGAAATTTTAATAAAATAGTCAATTTAGTCATTTTGCCGTTACTGTGGCCTTTTCCCCCTTTTCCATTCAATAAACTGACTGAAATCGTAGTAGACAATGCAAGTTGTTTGGACTTGTTACCAAAACCTGAACCAAAATATCTGAAAAAAGAAAGAAACGCCATGGAAATTGATTATCATGTTGTAGCTGACCAACAGGATGCTTTGTTTTAAGTAAGTAGTATTTAAGTACGGTAAGTTAAGATATGCACGACATAAGACCGCGAAATATCATAGTTCTTTACAATTTCCTATTTTGTATTTTTATTGCTAATAATAACACATCAAAAATTAAAGGATTTATCAGTAGCACTTATTATTTCAGACATACAACGATCCATTTTAACGTTTAATCTATTAACTTCTATTATCTATTATCTGTTAACTCTAGTTTGTAAAAAAAAGCTATTACTTGTCAAATTATTACACGGTTGTCTGATCTAGACAGAGCCTGTACTACGGCAACGAGATCACTAATAAATACGAGTATACTTATATATTTCTAAACACTGCATGTAGATAAATTTCACGCGGATATAATATAATAAATATTGGTATTTATGACCCAACTATTTTTCTCCTTGACTTAACGGTCAAAATGACTAATAACCAGACCAATAGGACTCCAGACATAGAGAATACTTACAGATGGGATGTAATAATGAACTTGTAAATATTAAAATATTGTAATTAAACATGTATGTGTAGGAAAGTTAGGTATATAATTACCTACATAAACAGTAGTAAACATAACATATTATGTAAATTATATAATTTTGAATATTTCACGACTTTCACTTTCTTATGGTCTTCATCACAAATAGGTACTATGAGTTGTTTTACGAAATTACGAATTAAAGTTATTTTAATGAATTCCATTGTGCAAACATAAGTCTCTGTTTGCAAAATAGAATTCATTAAAACAACTACATTATTAATTCTTTATTTAAATTATAATTTATCTTATTTCAGTGAAAATTAGATAAATAATAATTGCGGTACCTACATAGCATAACATAGTTGTTGCCTCTCAATTGATTTATACCTGTCTGTAATTCTATATTATCGACAGCAATAGTTTCTTGATTTCTTTAAAAATTGTGAGATACGATTACAAATTTAATTATAATGAATATAATATAAATTAAATTATAATGATTACCATTATTTCCTTTAAGTATTACTTATTATATATTGCTTCTGTTACACCACGCTAACCCTGAGGTACTCGTCGTGCATTCATCTACAAAGGTCGAAACAGTCGGTAACTAAGCGAGTAGCCGCAGATGTTATTAAAAATCAGAAGGTCAATTCTCATTTTTAGGGTTCTGCAGCCCTAATAAAAAACCATCTTTGCTTCGGCATGTCCGTCTGTTCGTCGGTCCATTCGTGGTTTAGCTTAGAGACTGTTAGTACTAATAAGCTGTAATTTTACAACTAGATATATAAAAAGAGCGACAATTTATAGAAATGTAACGCAGAAAAGGTTATTTTTAAGGATATTTAGGCGGAAAACTATAACAGTTAAGATGGCTTTGCGAGTTTAAAACTAATAATAATTATAATTAAATAATAATTAATAATAATAACAAACAAACAAAAAAACTACAAACTAGAGTTTACAAACTAGAGTTAACAGATAATAGATAATAGAAGTTATAATTCGTTTTTTTTTTAAATGTATGTAGTGGACCTCTAGTCTTTTTAATTTAAAACGTTAGTAATGATCTACAGAACCTTCAACGCGAGTGGGCACAGACGCACTTGACTGGTTTTTTAAATATGCCAATGTTACCGTGCCAATCCCTTAAAAGAATAAAAACAACGATCATTCAAATCAAATAAATACGAGTATTGTGTGTATAAGTGCATTCGGCTGCAACGGCATGGGTCGCGGGTGTGATTGCAACTCCATATTTGCATTGGTCTGGGTGTTTCTTTGTATATGTATGTCTGTATTCATTTACATGTATTTCGTGTTAGGATCCCTACCTAGTACATGCTATGTTTAGTTTGGATCTGTAAAGTGCCGAGTAAATACTTTAAGCGTACCTATATAGTTTATTACTAAATGTGTATGTCATGTGTAATATTGTAGTTATAGATAAAGTAAACTAAATTATAACTCATATTTACTTTAGTACTCTTTTCTATAAGATAAATAAATATGATACCGCATTTTGATGTGATGAGCAAAACGAGGTCTAGGTCTTTTGGTGTATGCAAATCCAATTTTAATTTTAGGATAAGGTAAGAGAGTTAGGTCGATGAGATTATAATTAATAGAGTCGGATTGTAATCGATGTAATCTTCTGTGATAAGTAAGATAAGTAAACCGATTCCGAGGGTCCTTGGTTGTTATGCCATTTACGAGCAATAAATGGGTGATGCAGCCTTAATGAAATCTAAATGCGAATCATAAATACTTTTTTAAGGGCGGCAACGCAATCGTTACTTTTAAGTTGCAGGTATCCATAGGCGACAGTAGTTACTTACCAACAGGTGACCAGTCTGCTCGTTTGCCCCCCTATAACATTAAAAAATACATACTTCGCTAAATAAATACACACTTCGCTAAAAAAATACATACTTCGCTAAACTTGCCTAACATTGCATTAAGGGAGGCACTAAAATTTGTCCTGACTATGAGAACTCAAAGTAAGTGCGTCTGACTGACATTATTCTCACATGCAACATTGTGTTGTAGATAGGTTACATGCAGATATTTAACTACAACTAGGTACACACAAAACAATAGCTTGAAACTCATTCAGTGCGGAAAGATTAACCATCGATGTTTTTTCACAACAAAAAATAGACAATTATCACAGTGAACTGGGAGCAAGTAAATGTGATGGAAGGTTAAATTTAATGGATTAATCGTTTAATGTACATCACGTCTTCAACAAAAATGTGTAGAAATCTAGTGTAGAACAAGGCCATAGCGCAAATTTAATTGGAGAGCCTCCTGGGCGTTGGTAATAACTGTGGTTGTTCATACGCGTTCCGAATAATTTACTTATAATGCGATTGGGCGACAAACGTTGTAGATGGTACTGTACGTACAGATTAAATAAGGGTCATGGATAACCTTAATGACGAGTGTGTAATCAGGCAATTTATAATGATAAACCGTAACATTATATTGTGCGTTACAGCAGCCAAGCTTGGCTGTAATTTAGGGCATAAATCGGTTGAATCTATAAATAATAAATAACTAAACTTAACTGATGCACCTCATTACGATTTGGAGTCGTTCTAGGATTACGTAAGCACAGAAGATTAGTTGCAGGCTATTTATATCTTTTTAGTGGCATAAAGGGCTGGGGTTTGAATGGTGAGTACGTCAGCAACATCGATTCATTTTATTGATAAATTCAGTATATTCTGAACTAGCTGACTAGAGCAACTAAGAAAAAAAACACACAGGTATCTGCGTTCACACAAAAAAGATACCATTTGTCGTATCACCTCTGTTTGAGAGCACCTCCCTAACTGCCTCAGCCAGCATCTTAATCCTAGGCATCGACATATCGAGCGAAGTCCAGTTTCGGGGTCACTTAGAGGGTAAGGTCAAATTGGCCTCGAAGTAGCTCGGTGTACTGAACAGAGCGAGGCAGTATTTCACTCCGGCCCCCCCGCCTTCACCTCTATAAGGCGCATGTTCGGCCGCATATGGAATACTTTTCTCATCTCTATGCAGGGGCACCTCAGTACCAGCTTTTCCCTCTCGACCGCATCTAACGAAGAGCGACTCGAATCGTCGATAGCCCACACATCTCCGATCGGCTCGATCCCTTGGCGTTACGTAGAGATGTGGCTTCACTCTGCATTCTCTATCGCATATATCATGGAGAGTGCTCCGAGGAATTGTTCGGACTAATACCAGCCGCAAATTTCCGCCATCGTTCCACACGGCAAAATTTTCATCTTAATTACCTGGATAGTTGGCGCTTCACTACTGTGCGCTTTTCGAAACATTTTTTGCCCCGCACAACCAACCTGTGGAACGGGTTATCGTCTGCGGTATTTCCGGACCGATACGACCTTCAAACCTTCAAGATAAGACCGTACTCCTTCCTAAAAGGCCGGCAACGCATTTGTGACTCCTGAGTTGCAGACGTTCATGGGCGGCGATAGTCACTTTCCATCAGGTGACCCGTCTGCTCGTCTGCCCCCTCTAACGTAAAAAAAAAACTTCGTCTGCGTCTTTTAAAAGGAATAAATTTTCCCTGTTTTTGCAACATTCTTTATTGGTGCTCCGATCCTATTGGTCTATAGCCTTCCTCGATAAATGGGCTATCTAACATTGAAAGATTTTTTCAATTCGTTGAAACCTATGTTTTGAACCACCTGCAAGTTCTGAAGTTTTGAGTAGGTGGTTGGTTTCGTTAAAACCTAAGTTTTAAACTACCTACAAGTTTTGTCTTCAAGGTTTCAAGTAAACCACCCACTTCTTAAAT